AGTAGTAGTAGTAGTAGTAGTAGTAGTAGTCGTCGTCGTAGTAGTAGTAGTAGCAGCAGCAGCAGCAGTAGTAGTAGTAGTGGTAGTGGTAGTGGTAGTGGTAGTGGTAGTGGTAGTGGTAGTGATAGTAGTAGTAGTCGTCGTCGTCGTCGTCGTAGTAGTAGTAGTACCAGTATTAGTACTAGTAGTTCTAGTAGTACGAGTAGTACGTAGTACTCCTAGTACTACTAGTACTACTAGTACTGCTAGTACTACTAGTACTAGTACTAGTAGGAGGAGGAGTAGTAGTACCACGACGACTGCTGCTGCAGCAGCAGTATACATGATGCTCGGCAGCAACACCAGGCAACGAAAAAAGACAAATATGAGCACGCGTGACAAAAATGATACGAGTAGACATAGAAATAACACGGGTAAAAATGAGAATAGCAGCAGAAACGCAATCGTAAGTTTAGGATTTAGGTTTTGGGGCCTAGGCTTTAAGGTTCAGTACCAGGTTCGAGTGAGCCCCGTGCTGTGGTCGTTGCTTACCAGCTTTGCACTCGTCGAAGGCAGGGCGTCTGCGGTCACACCCGTCTCAAACTTTTGGTTTCCTCCAACATATGAGCTATAGTCTAAACTCCCTAAAGGGGGTTATATAGGGGATTATATTTGGGAGTACTATAGGGGTTAGGGGGATACTAGGAGTTTAGACAGTGGCTCATATTGTGAGTGCCTTCTAGGTACATAAAGGGTTTAAGGCTCCGCCTTTTTGGGCTTCTAGAACTACGCAGGGAGGAACCCCAAGTCTGAAACCGCCTGGATCGACCTGCCTGGCAGGATCACTTCATGAGCTGGGCTTCAAGACCAACGTGATGCGAGCTTGTCTTCCATACCTGATGTCCAACCCTGTAGATACTGGGCTTTAGGGTTTAGGGTTTAGGGTTCAGGGTTTAGGGTTTAGGGTTTAGGCTTGCTTCAGGAAGCTTTTGCATTTCCTTCCTTTTAGTGAGGGGTTTAGGGTTGAGAGAGCGCTGTAGATTGCTCTAAAACCCAAATGGCGCAATGCAGAACCCAGGATATTCTACGCCGTGCTTTAGCCGGCGTGCAGTGCACTTTCTCAGAGATGCTGAATGTCTAAAGGAATTTCAGGTGGGATCCATAGGGTGTAGGGTTTAGGGTTTAGGGTTGTGGCACCCTGACCCTTACATCAGGCTTATTCACGCCTTATATGGGGAGATTAAGCAGGAGGTACATCGGATTATGTGAGGCCCGCAAGCGGACAACAACCCACCTGAAACTTCCTTGCGGACAGGATATCTTGGCGAACCCCCTCCCCCTAACTTAGAACACCGCTCCAGCCCGTAATAGTAGAGTCACTGGAAATTCCCTATAAGATGCATCGTATGTTGGGGGACATCTCTAACAATAAGCCCTAAGCCCTAAACCACCCTAAGCCCTAAAACCTCAACAGCATGGGGTTTGTATTGGAGGGAGGTGATCAATTGCGCAGAAGTCTACACAGAGGTGTGGTAGACGCTCTTCCAAACTGCCTACACTGGAGGTTCCCTGAAAACGGCTTTCAATTTCTGCGATCTATAGTCTTGAGAACCAGCTGGAATTCTAGTTTGTACTAAAGTTCCAGGGGACTTGGAGTTCAAAAATCTTCTGAATAAATTCCTGCCAGTCAGGAATACTCGAAGGCTTGTGCGTGTGAACCTTGCCTCAAAATACTGCAGGGTTTCACAGACACGCATGTCATCAGTTTTCCCCAATTGACTCTCCATGGCTCCTGTGCTACAGAGATGTGGGAGCCCTACAGCTGTACAGAAATTCAAACAGCTTTTTGGCTCTTTGGCCGCCACCCCTGCAAGATCTTTAGGGCTTTGGGCTCCAGGTTTTAGGGTTTAGGCAGCGTATAGGGTTTACTCAGACCCAACAGTAGGTTAGAAAATTGCCCAAAACCACGGAAAATTGCCCAAGGGACCATTATTTGACATACTTTCAGAGTTCAGGTTTAGGGTTCATACACAAACTTACCCAGGGCAAGACAGGGGCATGCAATATTGATGCGCAAGCATCACAGGGGGATGTGCAGGCCTGCATGATGTGGCGGCTTCCAAAACCAGCGGCCCCAAAGAGTGCGCCCTAGAAATAGTAGGATTTTTACAAGGAGCCCCAATAGGTCGCCTAATTTTTGGAAACTTCCACGTGCGAACCAGACACTAGAGACTTCCACTCATAAACCACCTGTGCCTGGCGTCTAAGGTTCGAAGTATGGGCCCCTAAACTAGGCCCTGAGCCTGGCTCTAGTGGCCTCTAAGGGTTTAGGGCTTAGGGTTGAAGGTCCTGAGTGCCTATGTATATGTATACATCCGTTCCACACCAAGTGTATGGGGACCCTAAACCCTAAACCCCCCTAAACCCTAAACCCCCCTAAACCCTAAACCCTAAACCCACCTAAACCCTAAACCCCCCTAAACCCCCCTTAACCCAACTAAACCCCAAACCCCCCTAAACCCTAAACCCTAACCAATTACGGGTCCATAGTTTTCAACCTTGGAGCCTGGCATGAGGTGTTGCTATGGCAGTCAAAAGTCCTTGTGCATCCAGGGTCTCTGCCGGGGGCAGGTGAAACTCTTGCAGAGTTTGCGGCTCCAGGGGCTACATAAGGGTTATATAGGGATACTGGAAAATACAATGGAAGCTACCATATTATAGGCGTATATGGGGCTATATAGGGGTTTAGAAATGACAATGTAAGGGGTGTGGACAGGTGCGATTTTTGAATTGCGTCCACAAGGCATTTTTGTCATGTTCTCTGAAATGATATTTTCCTACACCAGGGTAATTGCGAGAGGCTGAGGTAGGCATGACATCCGCAAGGATTGAGGTTCCTATGCATTTCAAACAGGTGAGCAAGCCTTCGCCAGCACCATCGTAGAAGTGGTGACCTGGTGACCTCCATTTGCTTTTGAAAGCACGGTGATTTCAAGCACTCTCAGTACGAGGATGTCCCCAGATGAGGGGAGCAGCCAGGGGACATCTGCAGTCTGCGCTTTTTTCTTGAGGCTCAAGCGGCCTATCCGGAAACCGAAACCGTACCCCTTCCATATTGCAGCAGCAAGTTCTCTGCATGCGCTGGGGCCTGAGTTTCGTTGTTCCCCTGCTTGGCCACACTGGCAGTAGCCTAAATCCCGATTAATATTGTAGCTTACTGTTTGTAAGTAGGGAATAAGCTTCGCAATGAGGGAATATAATCCCTATGTATAACCCCTGTAGAATACATCCTACCTAAACCCTTCCCCGTAAGTAGATTGAACATGAAATTGCCCAATATCATAATATGATCCCGAAATTTTCCATATATACTCACGGGGCACGATCGGGACTTTCAAGGACCCTTTCAGCTTATGAACCCCGGTTTACGGTTTAAGGCTTAAGGTTTAGAGCCAAAATTACAGCCAGGTTAGGGTTTAGCCCAGGGGGTAGGGTCTGGGGGTTTAGGGTTCACGGATTGATTTTGAATACACGATTCTTCCCTAGACATAGGCCCAAAACTTACCTTTGCAGATCTGGTTATCAAGGAATGCAGGAATGGATCCTTATAGTGGTCCCCCACTGTAATATTCTATGACATATGTATATATGTACATTTTTATCTTCTACTATAGTACACATAATAGCGACACTGTAGTTTCCATGTTCTTTTCCAGTCCTGCAGTCCGTGCTAACCAGAGGTAAGTTATATTATTCCCCCCCCCCCTATATAAGCCCCAAGCTTCCACTTCATATTCCATTTTCTTTTCCGATTGATTCTCCGTTATTGCGGTCCTATCCCTCAAAACCCTAAACCCTAAATAGTAGCTTCTATTTTCTTTTCCATTTTCCCATTATCCCTGTATAAAGCCTATATCAACCCTATATCATCCCTGTAATATTATCCCTATAGAAGCGCAATTTTATCCCTTATACGACCTTGTCGCAGCATTCGGAGGCCTCCATGTTTTGCTTTGGGCAGGGCTCCTGGCAGCAGGAGCCGAGCAGGCGGTCCAGGCACCTGTGAAGGGTTTGGGATTAGGGTTCAGGGTTTAGGGCGTAGGTTTTTGGATTAGGGTTTAGTCGCTAATGCATCATGGTAGCTTTGCTTTATGCTCTCATAGCAGCCTATATGGGGATTTCCCTAAAGTCAGCATCATGTGGGTCCCTAGGTTGACTAGGTTGACTAGGTTGGGCCTCCTATTGCAATACGTGCCCCCATAGGAAACCAAGTGACATATTTCTGATTCTACATACACACACATACACATGTATACATTGGGGCGGTTTGTAAATGTGTGCCTGGTCTGATTAGGATTGAGTTTCCAGGGCGTTGAAAACTCAAGTCCGAAGTCTTCTGACAAAATGGGTGCCTTAAACCCTAAACCCCTAAATAGTAGCTTCCATGTTCTTCTCCATTATCCCTGTATAACCCCTATATAAACCTATATCATCCCTATAATATAAACCCTATAGAATGCCTTGTCAGGGGTCCCTGGAAAATTGATTTTAGTGTTTTGGGGGAACAATGGGGAACCCCCAGTTCCTGGAAATACCCAAACGATTGGCCACAGGACCTGTACCTGGAACCCAGAATAGGGTTTAGGGTTTAGGGTTACCCCAAGGGTGTTTTCTCGACGGTCAATCCGCCGGTTTCCCAAGTGAGACCTTGCGCACTTGCGTTGATGCCAAGCCGTGCAATTGGCAAACCTCCCCAGAAACCTGAACCAACCTGATGCTGGGTAGCAAAGCAGTGAGTCCCTGAGTCCCTATGTAATCCCCTATAGGAATGAGCGCTCCCTGTAACCCGTGCCTCCATTCCCTACAAAGAGCCCTAAACCCCAAACCCCCTAAACCCTAAACCCTAAACCCCCCCCAAACCCCCCTAACTTTGCAGCCTGGAGGTGACGCAGCTGACAGACAAGCCACTGGCAGATTCACGCATCTACCAGCCACATGACTTCAAGCAAGCTCTGTGGAAGCTTCAGTAAGTACCAACCTTTTGTGCGCTATAGTCTAATTGCCTTAAAAGTGTTTATAGGGGATTCGATTGTGGAGTACAGGAGTTATTAAGAGGGATACTAGGAGTTTAGACTGTCGCTCATATAGAGTATTGTCCCCCTTGAGTAGATAGAAGATGGCTTTACGTATATATATATATATATTATAATAACATCCCCATATACCCCATACCCTATCTACTTAAGGGGGCCTATACCCTAAACCCTGAACCCTAATCTTGCGCTCGCAGTTCATAAGGTGAGGGTAGTGTTTGCGATGTCTCTATCCATGCTGTGATTGCTGCTGCAGATCCCACCACGGTAGTCCCCTAAACCCCGTCATGGCGCCCGCCGCGGATGGGTGCTCCACCAACCCTTCCCTCACTCTATGGCCTGCGTACTGCTAGAGCGCAGCTAGGTTTTAGGGTTTAGGGTTTAGGTTTTAGGGCTTAGGGTTTAGGTTTTAGGGTTTAGGGTTTAGGTTTTAGGGTTCAGAGTTTAGGGTTTAGGGTTTAGGGCGTGCATGTCCCCCCCTCTCTCTTCGATGAAAAAAACCCTAAACCCCATATAGGCTACCTCCAGCAGACCCCAGCATGGTGTTGGCAATTATTCAGGCCGCCACATCACGAATAAATGAGGTCCACACCAGTGTCAGACATGTTCAAACCCTTACAACCCCCTTAAGTAGATAGAATATGGGGTACATGGGGATCTTATTCTAATACCTAGCCGAAGCCATATTCTGTTTACTTAAGGGGGACTATAACCAGTTAAGCGTACAAGAGTCATGGCAACAATGATAACGACCATTACCAGCAGGATTACAAGAATAAGGACAAGAGTACGAATAGCAACACGGCCAGAAAAGTAGGAATGCAGTCTTGCCTGGGAAAACCCTAAACCCTCAACCCCTAAACCCTAATGTGACCTATGCCCCTCAGGTATGCTCAGCTGCCGAACGGCATCCAGGTCGATCTCCTTCTGTCATTCAGGGGATTGTAATTGCCAGCCCTTCCCCACTTCCAAAGAAAAAATAGGGCCACGTTAGTATCATAAGATTTTTGTAGGGTACTTACCTTACCTTGGGGGGGGGCGGCAAAAT